TTTTTTTAAATATAAATATTTAAAAAATTTTTGTGCAAAATTTTTCTGCACATGCATTTGAATATAAATTTCTGAGATTTTAAATCTGTTATTTTACCTTAATTTTAATTAAAAAATATTTTAAAACCTGCTGATTACCTATAGTATAATTAAATTTCAATATAATGCATGGCAACTGTTGGTAGTTTTGAAGTTTATATATTTTTTTGGCAAACTTTAGTTTTTGACATTTTTGACGGGTTTTTGACGGTTTAAACCAGTATTATACCCTTGTCATGTCAAAAACCACTTTTTGACGTCAAAAACACAACCCTGCTTATAGTGCATCTAATAAGTTGGCCAGGAATGCAAGCTTAATAAATTCTAATACTAAAACATTTTAATACTAACCATTAATAATAATAATTAAATGCTCACATCTCTTTCCTGATCAAGAATTTTAAATTCTCAAACTTTATATTATTATCTTTCAAATCGTAAACTTTATTAAAAAAAAAATCAGTACTTGTCTGCTATTGGTACTATGAAGACAAGTTTGCCAACAAGTGATTTACTCAGGTCACCGTTTACTGATAATACACATAATTGCATCGAGTATGACAATATCGTGAATATTCTACACAGCGATAATTATTGAATACAATAATATCGTGAATGTTGCTGCATTTTATTGGTGTAACAAAAATATTGACAACAATGTAGAAATTAGATCAATAAGGAAAATAACGCAACAATATTTTTGACAATGCAACAAGATATTATGATTTTTTTTTCATATGGTCTGACCGATAAGTAGAAGATGAGAGTTTCTTTTTGCTTTAAAATGTATTGTTTACTGCTTTAGATTGGTGTATTATTTTAACTTAAAGAAGTTTATAGCAGATAAAATTCGTATCATCTTGTCGAAAAAACTCTTACAAATGAAATTAATTGGCTCACATAATAAATGAGAGCAAATAAATGCACAGTTTGATTTTTATAAAGTTTCTAATTTGATTTATTAACCATCAAAAGCGTCTTTGAGATAATCAGCAAACTGATTCTTTGTTTTTTTTAATGTTAGCATATGTTGTACTAAACATTTTAATAACAAATTTACCAAGAACAAGTAAGAAATACAGATTAAATCATCTTTCACTTGAACATTTTAAGTGTATAATACAAGCATATTGTTTTGATTGAAAGATTTTAAACTATAGATTTTAAACTTAATTCTACTTATTTAAAAAGGCTGACCAGCTGGTTGCTGGATTTGGCTAATTTATATATAAATGTAACTTTTTTTTCCTGTGTAGTGGTTGCTAGAATCATTTAATAGTAAATTTATAAATTCAGGAGTTAGAAAGAAAAATGTAATGTTTTTGCAATTTTAAGAATAAATTTTACGCCAAATCCTTAAAAGTTAGCAGTTATGCAATAATGGCAATTTTAGAAACAAGCAACACAATTTATGAAATTATTTTTTCAGCCATTTTAATTAATTTGGCCGATCACTGGGGGCTATTTTATGGTCTCTTCTGATAATTCACCTTACTTCTACTTTATAATCACAAAAGCTCATTTAAAATATTGGCGCGTTAATTTGCTTAAATGAAATACTTTATTAAATAATGTCTAACTAGTATTGTGCATTTTTTATTTCAGGTAGGTCCTATTGTTGTTAGAACAGCAATGAATTATGGTAAGTAATATCTGACTTGAACTTTTTTGATTGATAGGCAGAAAGAGATAGAAGGAGAGGGATATACATTTTGACCCTTTTCTGTCATAGGGCAGTTCTCAATCGCCGATAACTTTCAATAAAATACATTTACAACGGGTTGAACAAAATGATACTAAAGTTCTAGTAGACAAAAATAAGGTGCAAAAACATACAAAGAATGAAAAGAAATCGGACACTTTAATAATTTTTAAACCAATGATTTATCAAGTACTATATTGAACTTTAAATGTGTTTAATTTATTAGTGCAGACAATAATTTAAGGTATGAAATCAGGCACGAAATTTTTTTTTTCGAAATCAATGTGACATTTTTTCGTCGAATTCGTAATCTTCATCTTCCTAATATAAGCTGCAATCTTAAAAATATCGTCCCCAGAATTTAAGCTGGAGATAAATTGAATATTTGGGCATTTGAAACCTAATTTCAAATATTTCAAAAGCTTAAGAAAGTCATACATTATCGTGCAAAAGTTTTTGGTCAACGCGTGAAAGGCATTTTAACCTTTCTCAGCTGGGTTTTTTTATTTTTTTATTTTTTTAAATTTTTTTTGTAGAGATGTTTTTCGTCTTATTTAGTCAAGCCAGCATATATATTACACCTGATTTCAGAATTTTTACTTTTCTTGCAATTTGATGGACAATGTAATCTTCTTCGTATTCAATTTAAATCTTTGCACTCAGTTCAGTTGAATATTTATTTTTTAATCTAATTCTTCAAAAAGAAATGTCAATAATAAATTAAAGTTAATATCACGATTTCTGTAAGTAAGTATACAAAACTTATGATTATTTGTTAACATTGCATCTTTCAATCGTATTTTCATCCTATTCTTAGATGTAAGAAAATCGCTTCACGAAAAACAAATACCCGACTGATATGAAAATTGCATTAGATTTAAAGTGACTTTCAAAGTGCTAACTTTGCTTTCTGGTTGATAAGCATATTAAGAATGTTTAGAAATAAAATTATACATTATTTATTACATTTCCAATCAACCATCTATAATATTGAGTTTGACCAAGGACTTTTGCACACTAGTGTATTTGTAAATTTTATGTCCCGAGATCTATATAGAATATTTAAGAATTAAGCTGATGCTCTTGAAGTGTCTGATTTAGTCATGACATTGATTAAAATTATATTAAAATTTGTACACTTTCACAACTCAAAATACTTTCTACCGTTATGACATTTAAGATTAAAAAATAATAAATAATTATAAAGAATAATTTTTGTATGAATTTTCTCTGGATAAACAAGTTTTATAATTGTATGCAGAATATTTTTAATGCGCTTCATTAGTTATTAAGATATGGCGAAATATGCAAATAATTAAATTAATGTTAACGTTAAATTAACGTAAACTTTTGCCCACTCTTCTAACTGCACATTTAAGATCTTATTTTCCAACTGCGGCTATTCTCATAGATTAAAAAAACAGACTCGTAGAAAAAGAGAAGTTTATTCAGAGACTGTTTGCTTTTAAATCTGATTTTGTAAATTAAAATATTGTCTGTAATAAACATATTTACGATTATGTTTTTGAACTATTTAGATTGAATGCTAGTAGGTAGACATCCGATTATTAGATCAAAAATTATTAAGGTATTCGCTTTTGTCGTTTGCGCGGTTTCCTTCTTATTTTTGTTTTTGAATTTTTGTATTAAATTTTATAAAATGACTAAGTTTAAAAAGATGCAAGAATTTGTATGTTTTACAATTGAAATAATTTTCGAACATCACTAAGTTGAATAATATAAAATAATAAATAATTTAAAAAAAGTTTCTTTCTGCATGTATTCTTGGATAAACGATTTTTATAATCCTTTTGCTAAATCAATAATTGGATTCATTGTTTTCCTAATTGCGGCTCATTTCTTAAAAAAATAGAATCTAAAAAAAATTACTTTTATTCTAAGAAAAAACATTTTTGTATCGAATTTCGTTATTTAAAAATCGCTTCACTAATTAAAACATTTTTTCCGTCGATCTATTGAACAGTCTGATGAAAATCCGATACTTAGATCAAAAGTGTTTCCTATGTTTTAATTTTTTAGTTTGCGTACAATGCATTCGTTAAATTAATAAGCTGGTTCTCAAAAATGCATTCCTTAAATTAATAATCTGGTTAAAATAAAAAATTGGTTTAATAATGAATCAGCTAACTCCAAAGTTAACAGCTGAATGTATATAAAACTAGCTGAATACATTCAATTCCAGAGCTTCTTAGCTGAAATGCATTTAAAATAAATTTAATAATGGTGAAATGGTGGATATATTTTTTCATGTTAAGTACAAGAGCTTGCACTTAAGTGAACTTAACTAATAAGAACTTTCTGTTTTTAACATTAATTATGCATTTGAAATTCCTTTTCATAGCATACAACAACTACACTCTGGGTCCTTGCAATTTTACCGATAGAGAGGGTTTTGCATCAGCATGTGACTTCGACCTGCATTATCCTGAAGGCAATCTATCCATGTTCAACTGGGAACTTGGATGTGGCGAAGGTGCCTTCTGGGCTGGAGGCCCACCCGTTGACAACAATAGCACGGCTAAAGGTATAATGATGCTTACTATTAAAGTATTGTAGAAACATAATTATAAACGTAATTATAAACTAGACATTTGAATTGTTCAAGAGAGCATTTTCGTTATGAAAAACGCCATAACTTTTGTTGTGGTCTTAGGCTGTTATAGCACTGGAGGTACGATTGTTCTTGTTTTCCAGTGACGCCATCTATGATTGGGAATTCGACTTTCGCCACACCCATATGTCACATCCGTTTATAGGGCTGACCCATTCATAAATCCATTCATTCATCCACAGATCTTAAATCTGATCTGAACCAGAGAACTATCAATATCCAAACCAGTGACCCCAAAGGTATAATTTTCTATAGGAACATGGAGGACCTTGTGACCCGACAAATTTAGCGAGTACCAGTTACCATTTACTGCACGAGGAGTCTTTTGCCGGCTGGATTCGAACTCTCGTTCTCACGATCGCGAGTCCTGTGCCCTGCCAACCAGGTTATCCCGGTCCACATCATAACTTTACTGCCAGGATAGGATATTTTAAGCCAATTTTTTAAATATGAATATTCTAAATAAGAACAGGTCTTATTAAAAAATTTACATTCCCATATTATAATTTTTAAAAATAATTTCTAATATTTGAATTTTCTTCAATATTTTTATCGGAAGCTGAATTATTAGATTGCCTTGAGTAAACAGTTTATAATTACTTATTAATCTTTTTTTACAAAACATATCGAGATATCTTTAAATTGTACAAACTATTTCTCGTTTCCTACGTAATTAAGGGTTTCACTATTAATTATGACTAATATTAAATACCCATGCTAGGTACGACCAATATTATTACGTTGAGCATTGGTCAGTCATTGGTGACTAACAGTGTAAAACATGATATAAAACTAAGGAATCTACATTGTCTTAAGCAATTACAGAAAATTTATTTAATTTTATTTATTACAAAACAAATTTTTATTTATTTCAATCTGTTAGAAGGGCACTTAGCATTGCAATTCTACAATACTTTCTCTTCGAAGTAGCGCACGTGACCTGACGAAGATTTCCTCGAAAATACGCATGGGGCTCAATGTGTTAACCCAATCATAGTTATGACCAGTAATAATGTCGAATGATATTAAGTGAGTCACGGTGGCTCTGGGTTCAGAGCGCTTGTCTGCCAATGCAATGAGGTGACCAAGGTTTAAATCCCCATGATGACTGATCAATACGAATTATGAAACCGACTCGCACTGACCACAGTGTTGACATAAAATATCCTCAGCGGTAGACGGATCATGGGTTAGAATCTCCGTGCATTCAGACTAACCATGGGAGGTTTTCATGGTTTTCCTCTCCGTACAACACAAATGCTGGTTTGTTCCCTTAAAAAATCCTCCACGAAAGCTAGTATGCCCCAATGCCTGATTCAATATTACCCTTGTCTTTTGGATTGGTTCAAAATTGCAAGGGTAATGAGTTGAACATTGATAGTCGTAAGCTAATAATTGTGTCGGTTGTTCAAAGTCTGTCGTAAAATAAAATAAAATTACATAAATTGTTAAGTACAAAAAATAAATAACTAATGCTTTTCATATACGTTTAATTTCTCTATATACATAGGTGGTTATGCCTTCATGGATTTATCGAGAATGTCGAGCGATGAGACTGGATTAATCCACAGAGCTTGGTTGCCAACACATCTACTAAATGCTACCTCACCAAAAGGCAAATGCCTTCGTTTCAGCTACAGCATTGATGGTTTGTCGGTAGGTGGTTTTAGAATATTGGTGAATGCAACAGATGTTACCTATACCATATGGGAGACCAAAGATTCTACTGGGGGAGAGTGGGAAAGTGGAAAGGTGTCCTTCACTTGCGAAACACCTTACAGAGTAAGTCTAAGAGTTGAAAACTTTATTTTTTTAAAGAAGCTTCTTCAATGATTCTACAGCTCAGAGTAGGCTCTCGGTTTTGGAGTTAGTTCCTAATCTAATAAGTGCAACCATTTGAGATTTTGTTACCCAGTTTTCCGAACCTGTCAGCTTGGCCGATAAAGCACCGTTGTTCTAGTACCAAGTTTTCAATAATGATAAAAGTTTTTTTCCTCGTTTTTCAAAATGATTCAGATCTCTTTTCCTAAAGATTGCAACCGTTTGAGAGTTTTTTTTATCCTGTTTTTGACTCTGTTACTTTTGTTGATAAAACTCGGTAGTTCTGGTATCGCGTATTTAAATTAGGTTTTCAACAATAATAAAAAAAATTTTTTTTTTCTTATTTTTCAAAATGATCGAGATTTTGTTCATAAAGATTGCAATCATTTTATATTTTGTTGCCCTACCATTCGAGAGCTTATTAGTTTTAGTGAAACAACTCAGTAGTTCTGGTATCAAGTATTGAAATTAGGTTTTCAACATTGTTAAAAAAATTTTCCTCATTTTTTTAAGATGATCTAGATTTTTTCTTGAAGATTGCAATCATTTTGATAATTAGTTTCCTTGCCCTTTGAAAATTTATTAGTTTACGCTACAAAACTCAGTAGTTCCTGTATCAGGTATTGAAATTAGGTGCTCAATAATGATAAAATAGTTTAGCAATAATGATAAATTTTTTACCGTGTCTTACAAATACATATTATCTTGGCCGTCAAGCATCTCTTAGTAATTCTTGTATCCAATATTGAAATTGGGTGTTCAGCAATTATAAAAAGTGTTTTTTAAAAATTTTTAAAATAAAAAGTTAAATATTCTAAAAAAGTGATGTTTTCTTTTAGGAAAACGAAACTCTAACAGTAAACTCCAACAGAATGATTTAATTCCATTATAATAATTTTCCGCTTAGCTATCATAAGTAAAAAGGAGCCGTTGAAAAAAAAAATTGGAGAAAATATGAAAGTTATAAATGTATTTTTAAAATGCACCAGTACTTTCTAAGCAGATTCACTGTGCCAAATTTTCCACTATATATTTATTAATATTATGACAATTGTTCTTTTCAGTTGGTAATGGAAGCCTTTCCAAGAGAAACGTACTTAAAAAGAAGGGGATACGTTGCCGTCGACGACTTTCATTTAGTCGATGGATTTTGTGGAAGTATGTAGGTTTTTTTTAATTGTACATTATTATCAAATTTATTACGGATATTTTTTTCGATTATTCTAAGCTAACCATTTATCCATTTTAAGCTATCGAATCATTTTCTAAACAAATAAGAAATTGACATTTAAAAATTGTTCTAAAATATAGTCTGTCTTATATTTAAAAAAAAAATGTTCAAACCAAATGAGAAATTATATAATTTACCATTTATTTATCTATAATTTTAAAATTATTTAGTTTCATACTAAATAAGATATGGCAGTAACTTTGCGAGTGGTATTAACACACTGTGGTGCAGAAACGTTTACATTTTAGTTCAAATGTTGTCGCTATTAACACACTTTACTAATTAGCCTCAATATTATCACCATTTCATTAAAGTCTCAATAACAGTGATGTATGGTGTTAGTTTATCTTAAGAATAAATTTATGTTGTAGAAAGGTGTTTAATTTTATTATTAAACAGGTGATTGTACTTTCGAACACGATTTCTGTAACTGGACGAACTCAAATACTAGCGATGAATTTGATTGGAAGATGGGAAGAGGCAGCAGCAGTTCTGTAACTGGCCCATCCCGAGATCATGGAAGCAGTGTCACATGGAGGGAGACAGGTAACAATTTCATAAAATGCAGCTTATAATATATAGAATATAGGAAGGCTTTATTTGAAGAGTAATCTAGGCCCAAGTATTAAGATAACGGAGTTATTTTTGCTTATAAGTCATTTATATCTTATTTTGAAATTTTGTGGGTGTATGTCTACTCTCAGACTCCAAAGAGTTTTAACCATTCTATTCGTATGTCTGCTCTCGGCCATCAAATATATTTAACCGTTCTAGTATGTCTGCTCTCAGACACCAAAGATCATTAACTATTTTAATAGTATGTCTACTCTCAGTCACCACAGATTTTTAACCGTTCCAGTTATGTCCACTCTCAGCCACCAAAGATTTTTACCATTCTAGTCGTATATCTACTCTTAGCCACCAATTTTTTTTACCCTTTCTAGTCGTATGGCTGCTCTCAGCCACCACAGCAAAGAACTATACTTATCTTAATAGTATAGACTAAAGTGAAGAACTGTTAATTTCAGTGGATAAACTTTGAAAATGTATAAAACTCAAAATAATACTTTACAAATTACGTTGAAGCGTAATAGCATTTTTTTCTTGAATAAAAAAAACTATTTTCTTCATTATTCTGCATATTATTTTCGTGTGACAAACAATTGTTCTTACAATAAACATGAATTTCCATTAGTTAGACAACTATGAATAAAATAAATACTACCGTAAAGGAATAAAATAGTACAGTGCGACAAAAAAAAAGCTGAACGCTAAATAATATTTGATAGGATTTTCTCTTTCTAGGACTCAATCTTAATAGTTCACGGGGGTAAATTCAAATATGCTAACTAATTAGAGCAGACGATATTTTAAGTTGCGAAATCAGACACAGAAGCGTACGTTCTCTAAATTAACATACCCTTTTTTCAACAGATTTGTATTCCTGACCGTTAAAATATGGGGAATGGCTACAATCTGCAAAATATGATTCCAATAGTTAGGTCCGATGAACGATCAAATGTTTGAGCATAATATTACTTATACTTTTTGCGTATTCCTCAAAATCTCGAGAATTTTTAAGGCAAATTATAGAAATTTTGCTCGCAATTTTAATGACTAGTCATTAATGCCGATACCGTGATACCATCAATGTACTGAATTACCTTGCAATCGGATAAAGATATTGATTGGGACTAACAGTCAAACATTTATTCATAAGTAATCTTTCTTCACACATAAAGTTCTGCATTTGAATGATGTTGTCTCCCTTTAATAACTAATATTTTCTTCAACAGTGCCAATCATATTTTGCTTACTATTTTTATTACAGCGAAAACATTTTTAACGGTAATTATTTTCCAAACTTGTTTGTATAAAATTAATTTTTAATTTTATTTAAAAAAAATATTTTAATGTTTCAGGTGGTTATGCATACATAGATTCTGCTTATCCAAACAGACCTGGCGATAAAGCTCAACTTTGGAGTCCAGTTCTAAATCAACATGGTCAGTACACAACGAGTTAAATCTAAGGAAAACTATTTGAATGATTTTTTTCTCCCTTTTTCATCAGGGTTTGATAACTTTTAAATAGTTCAGCGTAATTTCAAAAGTTTGGTGTTCGCTCTTTTCCGCTGAAGCTTAATTTTGAATTCCGTTCTTATTTTCGTTCAATTAAGAACAGCTTATTATTTTATAGTTTTTTTTCAGTACTTTTTAAAATTTTTCTGAAGGAAATTTAATTTCAAAATTCGATTTGGTAATAAAGGCATCAGGAGGTTGAAAACTTACCATAGAACATGCTACCGCTAATAGCATTGAGTAGGTGAAAATCACAATAGACTCAAGCAGGATGCTTTCACCGGAACATAATCAGAGAGACTTTTCACTATGGAGTTAACTTAGTCAGTCTCTAGTTTATGTGACGCTTGTGCATTTCATAGAGCGGATTGTCATCACTTCTGCAGAAATCAAAAACACACTTGTCATTTTTTAGAGCATCTTTGAATAATTTTTACTTTGTTGACTGTGCAATGATGCCAGAGGGTGTCAATTCGAATTGTAACGATAACTGAAATAAATTTCTTTGCAGTTAACAAGTTGGTAGTATTTTTAGCTGTTTTCTAGCACAGCGATGAAACCTGCTTGGTCTTTGGGATATTCATCCTCTATGCGTTTTGTCATCACCATATTCTATGATAATCTTTCCTTTTGGCACTTTTTTTTACCTCTTTGAATATGTTAATCTAACTGCAGAGCATCCTGTATTCTATACAAAATTTCAACTAAAATCATTCAACACTGCTCTTCATTTTCCGATTTTGAATTTTGGAAGTCATTCTATATCTTGAAAAATTTTAATGATTTAGTTAATGATCTTTCTAGTATTTCACCTTTTCCCAATAATTAAAAGTTCATTTTAATAGAATCTGTTGCATCCTGGGGCTCTCACAAAATGATCTCACACCTGTTTCCTATCGTCTCTTTCTTATTTTCTTGTTTAAACTTGTCCCTTGGTCCCCATTTGTGAGACTACTTCACACTTGCACTATCTCTACCATCATCTTGTGTTTGGACACTGACGAAAGCTCCTGTTCATGGTACTGAAATTATAATATGTTCATTTATGTACTTTCATTAATGCTTTATTTGTTTTTTGCTTCAATCTACATAGCACAAACTATACTTTATCCTCTGCAGGATATCTTGCATTTAATTTTAACTAAAATAAATATTTTTCTATACTTAACACTTAACAGTTTAATTAAAAATTGGTGTAAATACATTTTTTATATTCATTCTAAAAGTTTGAGTTTTCGTTCTGTGTGATTATTGTCTAATGTTAATCATCAATTAGTTATTGCTGGGTATCACTTAAAATATTATGTTGGATATTTAGTGATATGTTTATCCATTAAATTCCTTTATGATATCCTTTAATGACAGGTTTATCCATTAAATTCCCTTATGATATCCTTTAGTGATAGGTCTACCCATTAAATTCCTTAATGATATACTTTAATGATAGGTCTATCCATTAAATTCCTTTATGATATCCTTTAATGATAGGTCTATCCATTAAATTCCTTAATGATATCCTTTAATGATAGGTCTATCCATTAAATTCCTTTATGATATCCTTTAATGATAGGTCCATCCATTAAATTCCTTCATGATATCCTTTAATGATAGGTCTACCCATTAAATTCCTTCATGATATCCTTTAATGATAGGTTTATCCATTAAATTCCCTTATGATATCTTTTAATGATAGGTCTACCCATTAAATTCCTTCATGATATCCTTTAATGATAGGTCTATCCATTAAATTCCTTTATGATATCTTTTAATGATAGGTCTATCCATTAAATTCCTTCATGGTATCCTTTAATGATAGGTCTATCCATTAAATTCCTTTATGATATCCTTTAATGACAGGTTTATCCATTAAATTCCAGATTTAATTCTTTGAAATATTTCTTTACAGGAAATGGAAGTGCCCTTTGTTTAAGCTTCTGGACGTCACTTTATGGGTCAGGCGTCGGGGCCTTAAGAGTTTACATGTACGATAACACTACGAATGCAACGGGAGACCCCATATGGGAACTCTACTCGGGTACCCGTACACCTGACCAGTGGTATAAAGGAGAAGTGCCACTTTCACTTCCAAGGCCATTTAGGGTAATAGGAGTCAAATTTCATATTATTTATTTGATGAAGATAATAGATGTAAACTAAAATGCCAAGATTTGTTATATATATTGCTAACATTTGTTATCTGCTTATGTTATATTTTTGAAATTATATATTGAAACAACAGTTTCAAAAATTTGGCGTAACTACCACTATAAATATTAAATATCGATTCACTAGTATATAATACATGTTAACTTGATCCCATATTGAGGTAACTTTTGATAGATGAAGATTAGCATCGTCGATCATTAAATTCCCTTACAAAACGAATAGTAAACCCTACTGAACAATAATTTGAGAGAGGACATTATTTTATGCACACTTACGCTGTTTGGAGACAAAGAAGTATGTTTCATTATGAGGTGTTTACTGTAACTGCTCCCCTCGTATCTGAAAAACTCCTATTAAAACAAAATAAAGCTTAAATTAAATATAACAGGGTACTAATTAGCCACCAGATCTACCCCTAGGGTAAAATATTCTCTTCTGAAGTTTCAGTTCATTTACTTTTATACTAGCAAACATTTCAAGCTGGCGCCTTCGTGGTGTAACGATTACGCTGTCCGCCTTCTACCAGAGAGGCCCTGAATTCAAATCTCAGCTGGAATGATTACCTCTTATTTTTAAAAACGTTGATAACAATTTAAAATTTTTTTAAAATCCAAAATCATAAATTATTATTTCGTAATTTAAATTGTTTAAAAAAGTATAAAAGCTAACGCGGTGAGTAATTTGTTTCCTGTCCAAGGTTTTCCATCATGGTTTTTATTTTAAGTTTAATTTTGGAATGCTCATAGAAATTTTCATGATGCATATTTCTCTTGTTGGTATATATTTTTATACTTTTTGCCAAAAGTGAAATCATAAAAACCTATACAGTAGAGGTCATCGTAAATTACAATTTAAACAGAGTAAAAAAAAATATTTAGATTTGACGACTTTTTATCTAGATGTAAAGGGAATATAAAAAATGCTTAAAATGATATGCATTTGCCGTACAGAATTCTTAAGAACAACATTTAAGTTTTGATCGAATTCTAAATCAGTTTATATTATTTTACTTCAATATTAATTTGATTGACATCAATAATGACTGTTACGCCCTCTAATGTGAAAATTTTTACTGTTTTACTTTTGATAAGGTTTTTAAAGAATTAATGTATAATAAGTGCGGTAACTACAGAACAGTCTGAGTATTTAATGAACTAAATAAATTACAAAGTATTGAAAGGGTATATGACAAATTACCAGTAGTATATTGTCTATTAATTTTCCTATTGCCATTGTCAACGCGTCCTATCTATGTGTGCTCACTGTATGTTATGTTTCGATAAATGTGTCTATGTATTACTGTCAACGTATGTATTGGCTGTGTTAACATATATATAAATGGAAAAAGAATTAAAGTTGCGCTAACTATAATATTATCTTCGTTACGTAATTGTGGAATGCTTTGAACATTTAAAATATAACTAACTAGAAATTATGGCACTTAAATTATCACGATTACATGGATCGTGTTTTATTAATTAAATAATATAAATTACAACACTGACGAGCAGATAATGTGACAAAATTAAGGCTGTTTTTTAAAGCTTTTTCCCATATTAAAAGGTAAAAAGGTGAGAATCTTCTAAAAGGTAAAAATCTTCCAATAGAACTTTTGCGCCATTTCATTATCAGTTTTTACCATTATATATTATAAAATATATTATTATATATTATAATGATACCATTATATGTTATAAAACGCGTTAAACAAAACTCTGCCTAACAGTTATTAACAGCTGTTATGAAAAATTTTCGCAAAAAACATTCTAAGTTGAACTTTTTTAGTAGTCTTCTTCGTAGAACTTTTAGAACATGTTCATTATTAATTAAAATAATTTCAGGTTATATTTGAAGCAGAAATCAATTTGCCTGGAGAGAGTGATATTGCTATTGATGATATTGCTTTAAACAATGGATCATGTCCAAGTGAGTAAAAAGAAACTCATTGTTGCAGACTTAAACATTTTTCGCATGAAATTAAATTTCATATGCTCAAAATTGCCTTTCTCAATAAAGAATTGAAATTAAAATGAAGTTGTTAAAATTAATGAAGCTGTTAAAATATATTTCATCATTATATTTTTTTCAAACATTCAAAGTTTAAGATAAATAATATTGTTTTATTATTGAAAGCTCAAGTTTATTAACTAAATAATATTTATTACATTTATTACTTTGATTATTTTTTAAAAAAATATACTTTTTATATTTATTTCTCAAAAATAAAACTTAGAATATTGATTATTTTTAAAATAAAAATAAAATGTTTGTGAAAAGAATTTAAATATTATATGAAGAATATTTAAATATTAATATAAAATATTTATTTTAGGTATTCCAAGAGAAGCTAGTAAATCAGGTAAGAAAAATATCTAAATTAATTATTACATCCTGTATTCTATACAAAA